ACAGATCACCTCTCGTGCAGACGGTATTCTATATATGTATGTTCTCCTACCTTAGTATTTCATCGGGTTTGATCTCAGTTATGCATACCTCGCATTGATACCTTTGTTACTTATCTCAACACGATACTTCCCCTCTTCTAGTTCCCAGTTCATCCTTCAGCTGTGGTTGTTTCACCTTTTTTGTATGCCTACCCTTCTCTTCTTTTCCCTCTTGTCATCTCTTTGATATGTGATGTTCCTTGTCGGGCCCTGTTAGTGGCACCTCTAGCTTGCTCAACCTTAGTTTCTTCTGCTTCGTCAATTGGCATCCAAGCCCCCTCTTCCTCTGACCCATTCCTGCTCTCTCTTGCTAGTTGTTAAGTGACTTTTCAACTACATTTTGCATTTTATGTTACCACCAGGTTTTTTCTTCCCTTGTCCTCTTCCCATTATTCAGATCCCTTCTTCTTCACTGGCCCAACTGGGACCTTCATGTGTGTTTTACATGTTTGTGTTCCTTATACCTTCTTTTTCTGCAGATATATTTCATTTTCTTTCTTGCCTGTGGTTATCATTGTTCAGATGTATGTGCCAATAATGCTTTCTGCACTCTGTTTCTCTGTATTTATTTCTCTACTCCAACCAGACCTTTCTTCCTAAGACTTTGGCTGCTCAAAAAAGTGATCATTTTTTCGCTCCCTTCGATTTTTCACCTCTATCCTCACTTGGACCCAGATCATCTTCTGTGTCTGGTTTGGGCTGTGTGATGCTACTTGGCACATACATCTATTTTTCAGGGTTCCCATCATTATTTTCTCTAATTAGCACCCCTCTTCATCCAGGGACTTCTTGCTTTCTACCCTTATAGGATGGGTCCATCAACTCCTTTGGGTGTATATTCTTCCCTGGATATTGATGCTTGCAGGATCTTTCACATTTCATCACATCAGATTCATCAGTTGTCTCACTCTCTTATCGCTCACTTTTATGGACCATTGGTGAGATCCTTCAGGCTGGCAGGTGGATGACTCTGCACACATTTGCCTCCCATTATCTTCATCACCCGGTTATTTCATCTCCTGCAGGATTTCAATTCTTTCCAGTCACTGTTATTCAAGCTACACTTCATCTTTAAGGATGGTAATTACATTTTATTTTTCCTTAACCATGTATAACCCTCTTTACTCTTATAGGCTTCTACCAGGTGGTTGGTGTTGCTTCCTAAGGTATACTTATTTTCCAAAGTAGAGCAGTGATGGCACTGTTTGGGTAGTGTGGGTTACCCCTCAAACAGTCAGTGTGCCTTCCTCTTGCCTCAGGACAGGCTCATTACCCTTGTTCTGGTCTATCCAGTTGAGTGAAAGTGAGACACACTGTACCATTTGATTGTGCCCTAACCACACTACACTTTTTGGCTCGTCAATGGCTTGTGTGCTGGTGCTTGGCTGATCATGCAAAAGTTTTGTTCTTCCTTTTGACACTTGAGGCTGTTTTGTCTTTCCTTCCAGGTTGAGACAAGATACAGTCCTCCATTGCTGCACCCTCATGAAGTCCCTGCCATTTGGTGTAACACTCCATAGGCTTTTCCTTCAGGTGTTCATCAAGATTATTATTTGCAGCAGCCCTTCCACTGTTTCAGTGTCGGATTCTAGCTATTCTGTGCATGGGGGGTGAGGTATCATCTTTGAAGCTAATATGTGTCGTACCTGAAAATTTATTTTCAACAGATGCTTACCTTTGCACGCCTTTCCATCCATCCTCCTCACTTCCTGTGTACTTTCTTCTTGCCTTATCTAAGAATGAAGTTAATTCAAATGCAGGTGCTTAGGGGGAACTACTGCACAAGGAGATTATGTTGCCTTCCTATTGACGGAGGACTATTGTTGCATGATAATGACATCATGCACTACTGCAATTCATGTTAAACACATGTTTTTTAGGTGGGAGGTAGCTCAAGGTTAATGTCATGAAAATATCATAGGCAGATACGAGAAGGAATCAAGTTATTCTATGTGAAGAGGTAAGTATCTATCAGAAATGCATTTTCAGATAAGGAAGTTGTTAACTTTCACTAACCATGACAAGTATGTTTTAAATAAGTTCATTGGCTAGCTTCTGTTTGTTTTTCATGTACAACTTCATATGTTACTTCTCTGAATTTCTGATAAATTTGTTTTGTCTGATATCTGTTCACTGCATTTCAGTGTACATAATTTATACAGCTGACAATACTGTCTGAAGCAGTGAATTCAAATAATTTTGTAAAACATCCTGAAGAAGCTAATTTTTTACAAGTTAATTTTTTCATGAAATTATAAGAATACCTTATATTTTAGCTGTAATCATTATTTCATAATTCTTCAGAACATTTTTGACTGTGATGTTTGTTCAAACTTGGGTATTAATATATATATGAGGTTAGAAAATATTAGGTAAAATTATCCTAATATTTAGTTACAAATACTTTGAAAGTCTTCTTGCTAGAAATGGTATCTACCCTGTAATTTCCATAATAAAGTATTATATATGTGGACAGATAAGACTGTAATGCAACTTCCACAATACTTAAAATGTTTCTAAATGAGAAATTGAATTCCTAAAATTTATAAGACTGACTGTTTTTTGTAGCTTCTGTCTGACAGCTTGTCTATTATCACCTCTGTGCCCTTCACTGAGTCCATAGGCTCAGAAAGGGTATCCTTACCAGCATCTTCCACACTGCTGGTTATCTATCTTAGAAGGGACAACTGCTCCTTTTGGTTTTTAATTATGGTGTTGAATATGGTGAAACCTGAAAAAAAAAATTTTTAGAGTAGAAAAAACTAGCTTTAAACCCATATCTAGTTCTATTTCCTCCACTCTTAGGGTGGTAGGTTTTATGTAAACTTCTCAGCTGTTGTCCTACAAGTTGTTGTGTTTACATCTGACACAAGTGAGATACATGTAAGAGTGGTTGACATAGATAAGGCCAGGGATGACACCAAACTGAATTCTTTGTAAGTTGGAGAAAGAGGTGACATAATGACCAGAATTCTGTCTATATTTTTGTCCTGTTTTAATCTAGAAATCAATTATGTACATGTTATTCACATATAATGTATAATGGCAGAAAACAATACAAACATAACAGTAATTATAATCAATAAAGAAGGTGTTTAATATAATATATATCACTCATTAATCTGATTTGAAAGTAATTGACATGCATTTATTGTGTATTATTACACTGCCATTTTTTCTTTTTCCAAATTTAAGTTTCAATATTGCAGGTAAAAATTTGTTTGATAAAAATTATTTAAAACACTTGTAAACCACTGAACATGTAGTTCAGTGATAAGGATGCAGGATCATGGAATACAGGTGCATGTGGTAAGAGAATATGTATTGATGCAGACTCTGGCAGAATGTCTCTTTCACTGGATTTGGGCCTCTCAAACTCTGCAGTTTTTTTATCCTATATGAATAGAGAAGAGAAGTAAGCTTACAACTGGTACTAGATCTTACTATAATTAATTTGAAGATTTCTCAGTCTTAGTTGCTTAAAACTTTATTTTTTCAAATATACATTGATTGTTAGATCCATCTTTGCAAATAAATATAAACTTATTTACTAGTTTATTGTGTATTAATATGCACCAGTTTGGTTTAACGCCTTACAACCACTACCATTGTTGCCTGACTCTCTGTACCATAGTGATTCCCCTGCTTCCCTGGGTCTGTTTTCTTTAAAATCAAATTCAACATTGGCATGTTTCTCTGCTTTCTCATAAGTATTTATAAAATACAATTGACTTTGCCAGAGAAAACAGGACTCATGTGTTTTAGTGTAATTATTTGTTACAAAGCACATAATCTTATTTCAGTTTTTACCACAAGACTAGCTAGGAGCAAAGTGAAGTTTCTGCAGTTGCTTTTCAAATTCAATATACCAAACAATTCTAATATCTACCTTACATATGCATGACTTACCCAATAATTCTAAAATAAATGCTTTCATTTTTGTGGTAATGTTTTAAATCGTAATATTATTATTATTGAAATCATGAGACCTGAAAGTGCATTTTTTAGCTAATGTTCTTGTTTTGCTTGAGCTAAATAAGGATTTAGATATCATGATAGGAATCAGTTTCACATAAGATCACTTTTTTTGTGTCTGAGGATCTGCCTTTTTGGCACACTGATTAATACTTTTTTTGTACCAGTAACAGCAGAGAGATTGGAAGAGCAAAATATATACCACAAGACTGCTCATATTTTCTAGTATCACAGTGCTTAATTATCATTGCATATACACGTATGGACACAATTCTGCAATAATCTTTAAGCAATTGTAAAGAGCCATGTGCTTCAGTTCATTTTTATAGTTTATTTCTTAATGAATACTTTTCCAAAAGTTCACCTTGCATTCAGCTGTTAATATTAATATTTCAATAAGTGTGAAAGAAATAATTCAAGTTATATCAGAAATAAATAAAAATAGTGTTGGTAAGATTGATGAATAAAACTATTGCTAATTTTTGTACAGTTGATTAATGGATCTGATGCATGTTTACCATGTCTCCAAAAATTTCATGTGCACATAGTTGTTTATATACTTTTTTGTTGTTCAAAATGAGCTTATTTTTTAAATAAATTTTACTGCTTTATGTTTTTATTTTCTTTAGAAACAAAGTATATGATCGGTACATTGGAGGAAATTTCTTCATGTTATTGATCAAGATTTCGGCAATTACTGTGATAATTCCTGCTCTGTGTCTGATTCGAGGTGCTTGGTCACTTGGAAAGGTTAGTTATTGTTAATGTTCTTTTGTACTGTATCTATATAGGATCCTTAATGAGACTTAGTTCAACAGACAGAAAAGTTGCACACCAATAGGTAAAATGCACGACTCAGGGTTTCATTAGATGACGGGTAAATCACTTGCCTACTTTAGCTACTAACAGCTCATCTGCATGGCTACTTTGCTTTTGTGTACCTTATCTTTACCATATTTAAAATATTGTTTATTGTTAAGTACAAAGCTACATAATTTTTTTTGGGGGGGTGTATGATTTGAGTGTCTTGGCCTTGATTTCCATTGCCACTAAACTTCCTCATCCTGTCTTTTTTATTGCAAAGCTAGTAAGGCTACCTGCTACTGTCATTAATTTTTAACTGCTGACTAGAGGGAAGTCAACTAGCTGGAAGTACCCACAACCACCTCTGTAGCTACTTAAGTGTTAAATAGAGTGTAAATTTCCCTTTTTTTACATGGGATATTTTATAATTGTATAACTTTAATCTATAATGTTGTATAACCAAATGCAGACCTAAGGGAGGGGTCTGGATGTCCCTTCTGTTTTTTTTTGTCAGAAATTAATAGAAAAAAACTGCCTGACTTCCTTCCACTACCCTTTAGTATCAAAAAGAAGCATATGCTGTTTCTATTTGATTGAGCTATTAATCATCATAAAAAGTTTCGACACTTTCCATTTACTGAAATCGACACAGCAATCCAGTAGGCCTCAGCCATTAACTGATTGTTTCTAAGCTAATACAATAATATGAATGTCAATTAAACGTTCCCATGGTACATGTTTGTAACTTTGGCTTTTTTCATACACTCTAACAATATGTCTACATTTTAGAGATTTTTTCATCAAAGTCAGTATTGTTTAGGTCACCAGCAGCTCTTGTAACACTTGTTACAGAATCAATTTTTCATTATTTAGAAAATAAAATTTTAATAAGAAAGATGTTTTTTATTGTTAATGTCTGAATAAAGTTAAAGTGCAAGTGATATCTTATATATATACACACATATATTGTGAACCTTGATGTCTGTCCGAGCATTCTTCTGTCTCCTGTTTGAAAAGCTGTGTATATGCAGGCAAATCCTCAACAAGGAATTAATCACGTCATCTTTCACATTTCAAAATGTAACGTAACTTAAAGAATAAAAATGTACATTTACATGTGTTATTGTTGAGTGGCTCTTAACATGACTGAAATGCTCAAAAATTACTTGATGTCCCTGAAATAATTTAAATTGATAGATTAACTTAAAATTTTCCCATCATTGGGGCAGGTAATTTTCCTTGTGACTGTATAAGTAATGACTTTTTAAAATATGATCATAAATAATTATAGCTATTTAACTTTAATGAAAAAATCTGAAATGTTTGTTTTTATTTTCATATTCACCACATTACTAGAAATAAAGATTCAAGTTTTGAAATCTGGATTTTATTTAACTAATATTTAGGTGGTTTGTACTAATGGATTAATAGCCTGTCAATTAACAAACATCAATAATTGCCCTACTCTATTCAGTAATGCATCAGCACTTAAACGTATGGTTCACCCTGCTCTATTAATAATCTCTGATTTAAGTGGGCAGTAATGCATTTTAATTCTTTCTCTGGCTAGTAATTTGAGATGTTTGGAAACGAAATTTTTCAGTAGCCATTTTCTAATAAACATCTGGTTTATTGTGACCAATAATATTCAATTCTAGGTCAAACAACACAAGGGCACTTCCAGATGAATATTGTTCTTGGCTTACAACAGTTATTGTCCAACCCATAATTTGCTGGGATAAGGTCAAAATAGAAATAAAAAACGTACATATATGTATATCCTTTTGCCTCTTTGATTAGCCTTTTTGTTTTCTACTACTTGATTTTTGAAAATTCTTTGACTTTCCATAACTTTCATATACATTACTTGATCATAGCTTTCTGTTTAGCTCAACTATTGATACTACCCTACATTAACCAAAATTATAACTTCTATCAGTCATATAACATCTTGTTTTTGTTTCTGCCACTAAAACATCTTATTTTTTTAATTATAATCACCAAAACGATGGTCACTTGCATTAAAAACATGAAAAAAGACATTAAATTGGGATTACGAGGTGTCCTTTATGTTTAAAAAAAAAAGCTGACAAATATATACCCAACTCAAAATAGTTTATACACTTCCTGTATAAGAGAAACCAGTTTGGTATTGACATTTTTATGTGCAATGAAACCTAAACAAGGTCACATGTTAGTTTTCTAAAGGTGGTATTATCTTTGATCCTAGATAGTCATGAAGTTTAGCACAAAATAAATCAATCAAGTGAAGAGGTAACAGTTTACTTTATACGGATAAGAAGAACCCCTTCCTTTACATCTGCAAAGTCATTCTGTTGAATTTGATTTAGTCATGGATTTCTTTACTGACACAGGTGTATTAGTGAAATCAGTTACATTGTTTACACCATACTAGTATAACAGATCACAAGGTCATGTATCCTGAGGCAAGTTACATCTACATTATTCACTTACTAGCACGGACACTGTTCCTGCTCTGTAAAAATAACCAAACCAAGAAAAGGGGCAGAAGTTGTTTTATTGCCAAGAAAGTATATTCTGTTTACAAAAATTCTCATACCCAGTGAAGCATGTTAGAAATCCTGAAAGAAGAAAAGTACAATGAAGTAATAATAACAAATAACCCAAGAAAAAGTAATTTTATTTTGCATCTAATGTTCATGATTATAGCGTATGTATAGCATGAGAGCTATGATTTAGATACTTATATAGCGCGAGAGTTAAATTTAGTTACTTAGATAGTTATATAGTGCGATAGTTAAATTTAGTTATTTTAGAAGTGATAGCATGTGACAAGCCTGTTTATGTAACTTTTTACAAATCATACGTTGTGTAGTTCAATATTTTTAAATTGGTGATTGTTATATTATTGCATCATGTTACTAGAACCTTGTGAATTTTTCTCATTTTAATTGAATATTATTGCATTATAATATCTTTTAGAGTGTGAAATGTTCCAGACCTTTATTGGAATATAAATATACATCAAAAATATAGTTTGAGATACATAGATCTAGACTGCGTGATTGTGAATTTAGCCATAAAGAGCATATAGTGGCAATTTCTGTGGTCATTGTATTGTAATAAAAGAGCAGAGAAGAACAATTCTTCTTATCAATTATGTTCTAAAGTAATTGATTCAGCCTATGTGGCCTTTAAGGAAAAGAGACAATCATTTAAAGCTCTAGATATAACTGTGATAATCAACAGTATAATAAAAATTTGTAAATAAATTTGACTTGTTTCAATATATTATTTTAAAACGAGGATGTGTTGCTGTTTGTTTATTCTTGAAATTTATTGTAAACAAGTCAAAGACACCTACTATAAAGAATCCAGCTCATACAAAAACCTGACTGTGTATCTTTGTATTTCTTTACTATTGCAAACTGTAAATGTATTTAATATTATTTTTCAGAACACTGGCAAGTTCTCTGAAACCATTGAGATATCCACATAAAAACAGTGATAGCTGGTTTAAGTTTAACTACCAATTTACTCACCATAACACTCATGCAGCTATAATAAAGCAAAGAATTATTAAAGTTAAACCAAGTTATTGGTGTTTTCAAATAGACACTAAGTAATGCTAAACATGACTTTATCACATACTTTGAATATATAGATTATCTGTAGAAATTCCAGTTGACCCTCAATATTATACCAGAAAAGTATATTGAAGAAACTCAGCCATTTAAGTGAGTTAATTATTTCATATCATTAACCCTAATAATTGCCATGTCTACCAGCTACATGTCATTCAAAGTCACTCACAGTCGGTGAGACAGGTTGCATACAACTGATCATTAGTTTGTACATTGAACTTGTGGTTAGTGTAGTGTAAGGAGGTGCTTGCCATCTAAGGGAAATAAACAAGTTTCTTCCATGCATGCTCTGTAACCTATACACTGATTATATATGCTACTTCAGTGTAATTTATTGAAATTGGAAGATACATTGAAATATGCTACTCATATTTATGTGTTTTACTAAGAAATGGAACAATTCAAACAAATACAATTTGTTAACTATTCATTAATAAGAAACTTTCTAAAGTTTAAAGTTCATATATTCTCCATTTAGAGTATGGAAGTAAATTACTGTTTCTTTCTGTAACTGAACTTATAAGCATCTTATCTCTGTTTTCTTCTGGACATTTGATGTTTTTGAAAATACTGCCATAAAAATAATACATTTATGCTATGTGATGTGTTACATACTGATCTTGATTTCAAATGGACTTGGAAAGTATTATATATTGTACACGAGGTTAGTGCAGCTGGTATGTTTATGACCCCCTGTGTCATCTCTCCCCAACCTTTTGTGTGATTTCAATATTCTAAAATACTTCAGGAAGAACACTAACATCAAAGAAGGTGCAGTGGTCCCTCACTTACATGTCGACCCACATATGACATTTTGTCTTTAGTCTTCCTGTTCAATCACTGACAATATCGACGTTTCTTCTAACAAATATTACTGTCAATCTTCAGTGACAGTCTATCATATTTTAAAGTTGTGTTTAAGTGCCTGGAAAACAGTTTGCTGAGGTTATAAATGAATGTGTTTTTTATAGCTATAATCTGTTTTGAACATTTAGATATCACTATTAGTTTTTAGTGAATTCCTGATTAATGTTGTGAGCACAGTTCATATACTCTGCTTTACAATACATTACTAAACAGTATTTTGCATTATTGAAGTTCATTTATGTAATTAATAATGGCTGGAG